AATTGATTAACAAAATATAAGTTATCAACTAATCTTGCAAATTAATCACACATTAATCAGCACGAATATGAGCATGCATGCATTTAATTTTAAACACAAAATGAAAATTTAAAAAAAACAACGTGAAAATTTATATTTTCTGAGCTGTAATTTTGCAATGAGCTCTTGAACAGAAGAAAGATGAAATAATAATTATTTACAGTTTTACATGTATGAATTGAAAATCACAGTCAGAAAATTACTCCTAACATTGATTGCTCGTAAAATTGACTATAAAATGATATTAATAGTAAAGTTTGGTTGCGAAATGTTGTAAAATAAAGAAAATATAGCCCTGTAAAGTTTGCAAATTTTGCATATATTTGTATTACACGTGATATAGCCTGCGAACAGGCTCTCAAGCTGAATTCAGAGCCTGCATCGATGACTAATGAATTTGAATATCTGCGCCTCAAATCGTGACGCGAAATTCTCATTGGTCAGATGCTATAATTTATATGTTTCCGCTGAGCTCTATATATGTCAACTGCTGAACTATGCATAAAAAACACATTATCTGATCAAATTGGTCTTGGCCATCTTATCTCAAAGCACGAAATGTTCTGTTTTGAGAAAACAGTATTTAAAACATTTGAACTTTTGCTTGAATATCTTATATTTCGAAAAACAGTATAAACTGTACGGTCTAAATTTAGATTGCACGGTCTAAATTTAGTTTGCACAAAAGTTGTAAACAACACCATATAAGGATAGGCATTCCATATTTGGAAAAACGAACGTTACGGGGCAGATATTCAAATTCATTAGCCATCGATGCAGGCTCTCAATTCAGCTTGAGAGCCTGTTCGCAGGCTACACATGATAAAATAACCACTTTCGTCGGCTCAAAAATGGTTATTTTTCCCACATGTAATGCAAATACATACAAAATTTGCAAACTTCACAGGGCTATATTTTCCTTGTTTTACTACATTTCGCAACCAAAATTTGCAATTTTACTCATTTTAGGATGCTCTTCCCATGTAATAGCGTGCTGGATTTTATTGGGGTTAATCGTATCGTGCTGAAATTTCGCCCCGGGTAGCCGGGCTGAAACTCAAACCGGGCCGAAATCGCTCCATCGCCTCCATATAATCGACCCCTTAAGTTAATCTGGTTCAGTGTAACATGCAGATCAGGATAATATCTATATAACCCATGCTTGTATTGGGCTATTCCAATTATTATCCACACCCCCCTGTTGAGGAACCCCTTTCTCATGTCGGTACTCCCCTGGAATTTCTGCAAATTTTCATGTAAAATTTACCCCTTCCCATGGAATTTCCTTGTAAAAATTACCCTTGCCCATGGAATTTCCATTTTAAATTAGGCCTTCCCCATGGAATTTCCATTTAAAATTTGGCCCTGTCCATGGAATTTCCATGTGTAAATTACCTTTCCCTATCGAATTTCCATCATGGGACATTTACTCCCGGAAATTTCCCTCTAACATATGTCCTCCCATGGAATTTCCATCCCATGAAATTTACCCCTCCCTCTGGAAATTCCATGTGAGAATTACTCCTCCCCTTGGAATTCCAGATCCTGAATGCCTCCTTCCCTGGAAATTCCAGGGTTAATCC